GCCATACACTCATGCAGAACAGAAGTGGTACGCAGTTCCATGGCAAAAAAAAAAATTGAAAACAATTATTTTTGAGGCCAAACATACCACAGTACTAGAAAAATATTAGTACAAGAATATTGTACTCCTTCCGGAGGCCCCTCTGGCTCCTCCTTTCATGCACATGACAATTCTCTGTTTAATATCAATTCTAAAATCCCATCAACTCTCTCTATCCCTAGGGGTGCCCATCCCCCCCAAGGTCGATGGCGCAAGAACCTTTCCCTCCATTCTCAAGATATTTTATTGCTCACCTTTTCTGAAAAACAGAAAGAGCGAAGGTAGAATTAGAAAAATTGTAGATCACATATAATCACACTTGCTGCGGTCTTTTCCATGTTTTCCCTTGGTCCCTTAGTATGAAACTTCATTTCGAAAATTCATAAGCCCGCCAAAATGTAACCCCTCCAAAAATTCAAAAAATCCGCCAAAATATGCCTCCTCAAAAATTTTGATAGCACAATTAGCTCTGATATACTGTGTCACCATCAAACACTCTTCTGGACATCCCTGCCTATCACCTCCAATGAGATTAAGCGTTTGATGCCAGGAGGTGTAATACTGGGTTATATGCTGTAATATAAATATTACATAGTGATTTTGAATACTGGCGCGAAGGCAGTGATATCACAAACTACTGTCAAAAATGGATAAAGACAATGGAAGGGAAAGCAAGTGCCATATGTTAAGGCAGAAGGTAGCCAGCCGGCTAGGAGAAATGATCGAGACCACAAATAGTGACAAGTGACCAACAAGTAGTGAGAGTCAATAAAGAAGAACAAGAGAAGGTTGTAGAAGTTGGATACAACAATAAAGATGAAGATTCACTGCAGAACAGGGTGAGTGAAATATAAATAGTGACAGTTCGAAAGGGCGCCAAGTGTAGACCCCGACAAACAATGGAAATTCATAAATGTTACGTACAATTAATGTATGCTTTTATATTGGATAATTGAGGATGTGTGTTTGTTGTTTCAACCCAACCTAAGAATAATTATTTTTTTAAATAAATATAAATTGATTCAGAAACTGTTTTTTTTACTTTTCAAAGGAAACGTAACCTTACAATGCTCTTCCGATTCCGAACACAAAACATATTGAGCAATTCATTAAGCGTCTAAGTTTGGCTTCGAATTCTCCTGAGAGTTCACCATACACCAGACAGCCATTGTCAAAGTGGGGAAACACAAGAGAAGAAACCAAGAATTGATGGGATTTATATGGAAGGAGATAGCATAGACGGTTAAACTGTTTCAGGGTAGAGATAGTACCACAGAAAATTTGGGAGATGTGTGGTTTCCAAGAGAGGGTCTGATCAAAGGCAACACCAAGGTTTTTTACTGAAGTATGGAATGAAATAGGTGAGTTGTTCAGGAGAAGATTGGGGATCATCGGTAAGGATTTGAGGGGTGAGGGAGATCCGAGCAGGATGGCTTTTGTCTTCTTGATGTTTAGAATAATCCTATTGTGCTTTGCCCAAGTACAAATTCTATTTATATCTTCCTGTAATTTTTTGATGGCACCAGAGGATTCGGTCGGATTGAAGGTAAATCTGGACGTCATTGGCATACAGATGGTGCTGACAGTATAGGATAGAGGATGGGAGATCATTGATGTAGATGGAAAAAAGGGTGGGAGATAAGGAGGAGTCTTGTGGGACACCTCTGGGCAAGGGTAAAGATTCTGATGGCGGATTATTAGGGACTACAACATACTGGGAGCGACCGGTAAGGAAGGATTGGAAAAAATTAAGGGCACTAGTAGACAAAGACATATTTTTAAGCTTAGTTAGGAGGATTTTGTGGTCCACTGAGTTAAAGGCTTTGGAGAATTCAAGGATAATAAGTATGATAAGTTTCTGCTGGTCTATGGCTGTATGAAGGTCATGGGAAATTTTGATGAGGGTAGACTAAGCAGAGTAGCCAGGCCAAAAATCGGACTGGTAGGAATTTAGGTTATTCTGTTCTAAACAGTCAGATAACTGGGTTTGAACTAGTAACTCTAAAAGTTTGGAGAGATTCGAGAGGAGAGAAATTGGACGGAAATCATTAAGAGTTGATGGGTTGGAAGTCTACTTCAAGAGCCGAACTAGTGTGGTTTCCCAAGATGTAGGGAAGGTAGCGTTTTGAAGTGAGTAATTGTAGATATGGTAGAGGAATGGAAGAATGGATGGTAGAGAGGCTCTAATCAGTCTGACTAGGATGTTATTGGGTTCATAATCATTGGTATGGGATTTTCGAACAGAGCTAAGGAGGTCATCAGCGGTAATGAAGGGGAAAAAAAGATCAGCATTAAAATTAAAAAAGGGAATACAAAGGAGCCGGAATGGATGTAGGAGATGAGGATGCGAAGGGACAGGAGACAAAGTGAGTGTTAAGGTCATCAGCAGAAAAGAAAAGGACTGGGTTTTAGGAATGTTACCAATGGTCAGTTTTCTGAGGACAGCCTACTTGGCCTTGGAATTTGGGGTGTTCGATAAGGATTGATGGAAATAAAGGGATTTGGCTTGAAGTATTGCAGTCTGAGTGCTGTTGCTGCTGAAGGCTTCTGGGAGTTGGGTACGTTTAAACCGCTGTCTTGCAGCATCTCTTCCTCTCATGCGCTCACTCAGAGCGGGTGTCAGCCAAGCAGCAGGGGGATGTAGGATGGTTTTAGTTAAAAGAGGAGCATGGCAGTCGATGATGGTTGGTAAGGGTTTCTAGGCATGTTGTAAATGGATTTTTAGGAATAAATGGGGTCCTACTGGATAGCGTCAAGATCCTGCGACAGAGCTTCATAGGTGAGGGAATTGAGCTTTCGGAAGGATATGGTTCGGGGATAAAAAAAAATGGGAGCGGGATATTGTAGGAAATTTTAGATAAGATCATGGGAAGACAGAAACGGAACTGGGTGCTGAGATGCAGCGAAAGATTTATCTAGGAAATCCAAGATAAACTGGTCAAGCCAGGACTCTGAGAACTGGGTATGATGGGTAGGGTTGTAGGGTACTATATAAAGAGTGAGGGATTGGAGGAGGCTAGTCAGGTAGGAATGGTCAGAGGATAGTATCAGTAAATTGGTATTGAAGTCCCCGGATGTTCATACCATAAGCACCCTGAACAAGTTTCTGAAGGAATCGCTTAGGTATCTGCTCATGCACTGTATAACTCCTTTATTGACTGTACTATGTTTTTATTAAAACTAATTTTTCACAGGAGATAAGTATATAAAAATATCCTCATAAAAATTTAATCAGAAAAAATATCTCTTCAGTAAGTTTTTTTGTTTAAAATCATTTTTTCTATTGATATTTCTCATAACTATAATTCCTTCAATTTTATTCTGAATGCTAAATAATATCCTACTTATTTAATAAAGATAAAATGTTCTTAGTGTTAGGGGGCTGAATAGGTCAGTGAATAATGCACTGTGCTCCAATGCTGTTGGTTCTGGGTTCGAATCATCGTGATCAGACATCTACAGTAAAATGACCATGGTATCGAGAAATCATCCTGGGACACTCCCAGCTCTCTATAAGGTGGTTACTCTTAATTAAATAATTAATTAAGGGGAAAACCCTAGCAGTTGAACATGATCTCTGTCAAATAACCTTCTTGCACAACTGTTGACTAAGAAAAAGTATTTCTTTATAAAGTACTAAACCAAGGCCCTCTATGGGTTGTAGAGGTTCAAGTTCTTATTGTATAATCAATTTAAAATTATTTAGTTAAATATATATTTTTTTAAATAAAAAGTTAAAAAAATACTTTTTGTCAGAAGTGTAATAGCATTCTAGTTCCACAATTAATTAAATCAGGTATAATATTAATGAAGCGTTTACATAACATTCTGCATTCAAGACTTCCCACATGCCAATTAAACTTACTGTTAACCATCCTTTACCATGGAGGACAATGACCCATACCTAAAAACAAAACATTGTCTTTTCGTTTTTCATGAATGCATAGGAAAAGCTTGGTATGAAAAGACGATTATCATCTGTGAATTAATCAAATTTGTATGGCAAGGTAACATGTTTTTTCAATCACATACAATACAATGTAAATGACATAACTGTAAAGAAACACAATCCAGAGTTTGATGCTAATATTGATGGTGCCAATGAATTTAGTAAAAAATGTCAACATTAAAATATAAAATATATTGGTATTGATATGAAATTGTAACTATTTCATTATCATTATCCATATTCATCTACACAAGATCTGTTCATTCTATTATTAATTTAGTCAATTAAATTTTAATGGATTGAGTTGTTCGTTTTCACTTATTGCTGTGGCCTAAATTTTAATGTAACACTCCCACAAGAAAATAAAATATAATTGCTTCTGAAGTAAATATAGGGGCTTTAGTAGGAGATAGATGGATCAGCCCACTATAAACTTCAGTGGATTGGTTGATTTTGAGATAGCTGAATTATATATTTTCCAGCTTTATATATAAAAAATCATGAAAGGGAATATTTTGAGCTAAAGATCTCAGGTTTGAAGGGGAACAAAATGTCTCAATAAGGACTTTTGTAAATATATCTATCTAAATATTAATTAGTGATAGTAGAAGGCTATTAGTCATAGAAGCCAAGTTTCACCTCACATTGTAAATACAATTCAGTAATAAAGGCTATAAATATAAAATTAATTTTGTTTCCAAACTTAGTGATTCTTAAACTTGTTGAATAAAAGATACACAATAGTGGTACCCAGACCGACCACAAAGGCACCGGATACCCAGCAAAAAAATGTTTTCAGTGTTACTAACAAACAATGAAAACATGAATGTTTACATAACATTCAACCAAATCTAAATAGTATAGTAAGAGCTGTATTTTTATAATAAGAGGTTTTATTCTGATAAAATTATTTAATTATTCAATCCTAGTGCAAGAATGTCTATTTTACTATATCATAAATTAAATAATCAACAATTTTTAAAAAATAATTAGTATGCCACTAAAAAATTACCTGGCCCTTCACTCGAATGCTCAGCTTCTTCTTCTTCATCATCTTCTTCTAAAATATCTGATAAATCAAAATCTCCAAGTTTTTTGCTAAGGAACTCACCTGTGAGAAATTGAAGTCACATGTAAAGAAATTATGCTGTATCCAATCTATAATGCAGTACACTATATGTAACTTACTAGTTTAATTTACTAGACAATTCCTATCAAACATTTTAACAATTATTTCACTTTGAATAAATTATTAAAAAATATATACATGATTTAAAACTATCTTAAATTTCATACCTGTTAATTATGAATACACAAAGCGAAATGGTATTTAATAATATTAAAATGTTATAAATTAAAAAAAATCAATAAATTTTTTATAACTACTAACCGCTATTTAAATGGTAGTCAAAATCCTGTGGTATATTTGTTGATGCAGAATCATCACAGTCCCTCAGTCCTTGGATTACCGACTGATGAAAATCAAGTAGATCATCACCAATCAATTTTTGAACAAAGTTTGATGGAACTAATCCTCTTCTTCCATCTAGAAGTTCTGCATCATAAAATCCATCCTTAAAGAACAATTGAAAGTTAATAGTCAAACAATTACTAATATTCCTTCTTTAGTTGCTTTAATAATTTAATGAAAAATAAATAAATAACATATATAATAATAAATAGGGGAAGCAGTGGTCGAGAGAGTTAAGGTGCCTGCAAAAATACACTTTACGTGTAGAGGCTTTTTGTTTCGATTTTTACTAGTCATGAGTTCAAATCCTGTTTGCGAGGAACAAAAAAGATAATAATTAATAATAAATAAAAAAAAAATTTTAGTAAAACTTGGAAGCGCTACCCGATTATTTTGACCACTATGGCATGGATTCGATTCCCGCATGGGGACAGTAACGTTCCCACCCAGAGATTCATAGGGAAAGGAGCGACTACTGTGTCTTACACTATAGCTCCTGGTCCTCCAGGTTCGGGTTTGAGCATAGGGCTAATAACCCTATCCCAAAAAAAACACCTTATTACAAAACCAAAACGAAGCCTCGGAAAACCAAACTGTCTAAACATGGTAAAGGTAACTTGGCTTTGAATCACGGACAATACATTGGATCTTGGAATGTGTATAGTTTATACAGACCAGGAGCCACAAAAACGGTAGTAAAGTATCTAAAACTGTATAACATACCAGTACCAGTCATTCAAGAGGTAAGTTGGTCAGATGGTGGCAAAACCATTATCGACGACCATACACTATTCTACTCTGGGAGAAATGATAAAATTAGGATAGCTGGCACAGGATTTATAATTAGTCCAGCAGCAAGAAGGAAATCAATCATTAACTTCACCCCAATAAACGAAAGGATTAGTGTATTACGAGTTAAAGTTCATTGGTTTAATATCATGATAATTAACATGTATGCACAAAACAGTTAAAGATGAAGAGCAAGATAAAGTTGAAGAGGTGATGGATGATTTCTATGATTACCTGTAAAATATTGTGGACCAAGCTCATAGGCATGACATAAAGTTAGTCATAGATGACTTCATGCAAAGAAAGGACGAGAACCCTAACTCAAGCCCATTAATGGAGGGCAAAGCCTTTATGAAAATAGAAATAACAATGGAGTGATATGAATCAGTCTGGCGGCAGCTAAAGGTCTAGTCGTCAGCAGTGTAATGTTCCTACACCAGGATATCCACAAGTACACATGAATTAGCTCTAAAGGAGCAAAAAAATCAAATTGACCATGTGCTGGTAGACAAGAGACATTAGAGCTCAATACAAGATGCAAGAAGCCATTGTGAGGACAACTGGCAGGCTGGAGATATATGCGAATTCTACTCAGACGTTAAGAAAGGATAGGATAAAAAGCGAGAAACACGCAAATGTGAGGAAAGGATGGCATTCTGACGGCATCTAAAGATATTGAACATCTGGAAAGAACATTCCCAGGAACTTCTCGATCAAGGGAACCTCACGAACGAAGAAGACTTGGACCACACAAAGGACCTTGACCCAGAAAGGGTTAAAAAAACAGATATACTGGATGCACAAATAGCTATAGAAAGGCTCAAGACAAGAAAGGCACCAGTGATAGACAATACCATCAGAACTGTGTAAAGATAAGGAAGATGACTTAAGATCCAAACTACTACAACTAATTCAGAAAATATGGGAAGAGGAAAGGATACTTGAGACTTGGAATATGGGCCTAGTCTGTCCTATCCTAAAGAAAGGCTCCAAGTATGAGTGTAGTAATTACAGAGGCATAGCACTCCTTCCGGTTGCCTACAAGATAATGTCCAATGTCCTACTAAACTGGATATATCCTCATTACAAAAATATAATAGGCAACCACCAAGCATTTATAAAAAAGTACAGTTCAGGCAAACAACTTAAGGGAGAACTGAACCGGTGGAGCTTAGACTAAGAACTTCAGGAGGAAAAAGGCTTTTTCCTTAGTCAAATGCCTTGCCTAATGAATCATCATGAATTATAAAAAAAAAAAAAAATTGATTTGTTTTACATCCTCTCAGAAGCGGAGTAGCTAAGTGAGTTGGGCACTAGACTGCTAAACTCAAGGTCCTGAGCTCAAATCCGGCTGATGTCAAGTAATTTTTCATTAGACGTGGATTGACCCTGAGAATGGGAGATCCTCCTTGGACACACCCAGCCTCTATAAAGTGGATACCCTTAATTAAATAATTAATTAAAAGGAAAAACTTGGCAGTTCAGTGTGATCATGGCCGAATCACTTCGCTGCACAACCATTGGCCTGGAAACAGTACAACTTAAAAAAGTACTGAACCCAAAATCCTTCATGGGTTGTAGTGGTGAAGGTTTTTTGGGGAGTGGGATAGCCTAAGTGGGTTGGGCACTAATTTCTATAGTTCAAAGTCCCGGGTTTGAATTCGGCTGATGGCAGATAAATTATTTATTCTGTTTCATTGGCTGTGGATCAACCCTGGGGTCGGGAGACCCTCCTGGGGCATACCCAGCTTCTATAAACCTCCCCCCCCCATAACTAACTAAAAACATAACTATAACTAAAAACCCAGCTTCGGTACTCTTAATTAAGTAATTGATTAAGGGTGAAAATCTGGCGGTTGAACATCATCTCAATCCAAATCACCTCCTTGCATAGCTGTTGACCAAGATACAATACTACCAAACACAGTACTGAACTCAAGACCCTTCATGGGTTGTAGTACTACAGATTTTTTTTTTTTACATCCTCTCAATAAAATAATTACCATGCATTAAATCTTACAATTCTTACAAAAACAGAGGTTTATTAGGTTATGTGTATGCACACTAAAGGTTGGTCTTGATAGAAGTTTTTTATTTTTTGGTTACGTTTCAATTCATGCTTACGGGTTATCATCAGGACTGAAAATTTTCTAACATCAGAGACACGATTATAATATAAGATATAGTAGTTAGCAACAATAGAAAGTAGTAGTGGATACGTAATAATTATAAAATAAATAACTAATCTAGAGAATGATGAGAATACATGGTGTGATAAGCTATAATAGAATATACTTAATAAGCTAAATAATATTTAATATATATTTTTACTACTACTGCTACTGGTGGGGATAACTAGTTAGCCAAGTGGGCCCTATTGTTGTCTATTTTGCCATCCTCTGACCGCTAATTTGAGATTCCCACCCCATATTTGCCAGAGTGAGAATGTCATGATCCATTTCCTGGGGCCATCCAGAAATAAAAAGTAATTGACCCAGGTGGGGATTGAACCCACAATGTTCAGAACCGGTCACTCTGGGAACCATACCCCAATGAGCTTGGCCATATCATCCTCATATTTATCAAATAATATTTATATAAATATTTAATACTCTCTATAATATTTTTTAGCTTAAATAGCTTATTATGTGTATTATTTTATAGCTTATTACACCATGTATTCACATCATTCTCTATAATGATTATTATTTTATTATTATTATGGATCCACAACTATCTATTGTTATTATCTATTATCACTCATATTACAATTGTGTCTACGACATTATAAATTTTTCACCCTTCTTGATGATCCACAACATCCACAAGAGATATTTTCAAAGAGGAAAATAATTCTCTTAACATTTTGCTTTGCTATTGTTTCGATTATTGCTAAGAAGGATGGTTAGTAGAGGAATTTCATTTCTAACTACTAATTTTTACTTTCTAGTAATGATGAGAAGAATTAATAAAAAGAAATCATGTTTATTTTAATTTACTAATAAACTATCATCAATGTTTTGTTAAAATGTGTCATATATCATATTTATATTAAAAATTTTATAGTGCATATATTTATGTGGATTGTTGTAAGTAGCTTAATTTTAAACTTTTCATCTTGGGCAAACTTCATCTAGTACTTTTTTTTCCTTTCATCGGCCCAAGACGCCCTCTGAAGCCCTATACTGCATCTAATATTTACGATAGTTTAAAGTTAGAATATAGTTAAATTATCAAGTTTAGTTACTAACCTTAAATAAAAATTCCAAAAAAAAAATCATATTTCTGGGTGTATGGGTGTGTGTTAGTTTTGATGCTACTTCATAGATAAAACTGAATATTTTAACACAATATAATCCATAAAAATGTCTTAAAAAGATATACACCTATATTTTGTTTTAGATTTGGTTTTATTAAGAAATAATATGTTTTGCTTCACTTAAGGACAATAATTAGAAAACCTATGTGAGACTCATTTATATCATATAAACAATATATAGCAATAACAAAAACTAAACTTGAAATAATATTAAATAAAATATAAAAATTCATAAAACATATTAATACTTAATTAAAATATTTACAGGCATCCGAGGGAGCTCGGAATCTGGCCCTTTTCCACACATGTGGAGAACAAGGCAAGACTCTAAGAAATCCCAGCACATCTCTCTCAGCCGCGCCACCAGTATGGCAGTCCAGTAATGTCTGAGAGAGAGCACTAAAGCCACAAATGCTCATGACTTGAGTAGAGAAGCTGGCCATTGCCTGAACTCCAATGATATATTTACTAATGATCTCGGGACCACTGCCTTTTCAACCTTCGAGAAGAATTTTAAGAATGACTGCAGTTGGATGAAGATTGTGCTAAAGGATTAGGGTGATGGATAAGGTTCTGATGAAAATTTGAGAATCGAGATGAAATAATGTCAAGAACATTAAGATAAAAAGAGTTAGAGATTACAATGCAATATAAAACTTACTTCATCCATATTTCCCCAAACCAAAATGTAATCGCCTGCATTTACTGCTAACTCAGCTTCAGGACATTCATTAGGTGATTGTTGAAAAGGGTCATATGAATATCTGTAAACAAATATGGATATATAATTTTTGTGGTGTTTATAGAAGAATTCCATTCTAGGGCCTTAATCCTGCTTTTGACTAATCAAAAATTCCAATATCATATGTTAACTAATTCAAGAATTGTTCTTTATAAAATATATTTAGTGTTTTCTAATTCTAATAATCTAATGCAATAGTTATTGTAATTATAGTTGGTGGTAAGTTATATTTAATTCACGTACCTTGCAATATAAACATAACAACGACCTTTTCCTGGGATGTCCAACATATCAACTACTTTAGGATCCTGACTAACCGTTATATGCTGGTCAGGAAATGCCCCATATATTCCTATAGTAAAAATAAAATAAGTTATGATAGCAAAATTATTTTATTAAATATTGTTTTTATGCATTATCATTAGACATAGGTGATGATATACAGGCATTGTCTGGCTCTGTTTGGGGCCCTCAGCTAAAGTTTAAAGTGGGGACCCCTTATTAGGACCAAATGTATATATATATATATATATATATTTTTTTTTTTTTTCGGTTGGTCCTATAGACCTTGTAGATCTTTGGCCGTCTGAACCAGCCTTCTCCATCTCTGCCTATCTTGGGGCACTGCTTTCCAGTTTGCGGCATGAAGTTTAGCGATATATTTGTTTATCCAATCTATCCATCTGGTTTTTGGCCTCCCACGTGGTCTCTTGCCTACTACTCTGGCATTCATTGTTGTGTAAAGGCGTCCTGATGAATTGCTACGAGCTACATGCCCCACCCATCTTAACCTCCTTGCCTTCATATCATGAGATATTGACTGAGCCCTTTCTATCAGCAGTTCTTTGTTGTTCCTTCTCCTCCATGTGTCAAGGTTCTATTATCCCATATAGGTCCTGTTATCTTACGGAGAATTTTTCTTGCGAATCTCTCAATTCTGGCTTCTAGTGTGCCGGTTAGAGCCCAGGTTTCACAACTGTACATCAGAACTGGCTTAATCTTATATATTAATATAATATATTATATATATATATATATATATATATATATATATATATATATATATATATATAAATAGGGGAATGGGATAGCTTAATGGTAGGGTGCTGAGCTCCCAATGCTCAAGATTCTAGGTTGACTCCCGGCTCATGGCAGAAAAAATATTTATTCTGTTTCATCTGCCATGGGGCGACCCGATAAGGAGACCCTCCCTTCTGAGGCATACCCAGCCTCTATAAAGTGGGTACTCAGGCAACTTTCCAATTTAATGAAAGTAAAGGCAAATAACTCTAATTAGTTCAACGTAGGCAACAGTAGACTTCATTTTGATAGAAAGTGGTAGGTTATATGAATTATACAAATCAATACTCACCATTTCATGCTGCCATATATAAGTTACTTGTTCTTTGAGGGTAGAAGGGCGCCCTTCTCCAGTCTGACTTCTGCCTCGCTGGCTTGGAATGGGCTGAGAGAGTGTCGCAGCTGGAGCAGATTATCTCTTATCTTTTAGATCCTTATCAGATCTGTTTTTACTACTCACCGCAACGCGGCGCTAGGGTTTAATAGCATTTACACAAAACATATTCCCCACCGTGAAATATCTCATTTCACAAACAAAAAAAAACCAAACTTTTAGATTGATAATTACCAGGCAAGGCACAACCAAGAGGAAAATTGTTTACAATAAACAAACAGAGATATTATTCGAAATATATTTTTAGAAAATTAGAAATAAAAGTGAGCCAGATCAAAGATAGACTAATAAATTACAATTTATTTAAAATAAAAATGGCTCATCATTAAATTTAAGAAAAGAAAAAAAAAATATACATATCGATAAAAGGTTTCTCCAGAAGGGAGTGGCACTAACTTATGCACAGGTTGCACCAAAGTGGCTGTAGCAATCCTCAATTTGACAACCCTAACTACAACGTCAGGCCCCGGAAATAGCTCTATTATTCTGGCATACCGCCACTACTGCAGTGGAACATCTTTTTAATGAAGGATAACAAGGTTTCCCTCTTTTAAATAGTCCCTGTCAGTATATCACTTGTTATGAGGTACCAGATTGTGGAGATACTCATTATACCATTTCTTCCAAAAATTACAAAGTCTTGGAAATCATCTCCCAATGGCTTGTCAAAGGAAACACAGGCATGTATTCTTTTTCTGGTCTGGCTAGAAGTTGACCTATAATAAAGTGCCCTGGGGTGAGGTAATCAAGGTTATCCGATGGCTGATTGCTAATATTACAGATAGGACAGGAATTGAGAACGGCTTCAACTCGTACCAATAGAGTATAAAATTCCTTATATGTTAATGTATGATCCTGGAGAATGGAAAGGAGGTGTCTCTTAGCGGATTTAATAGCTGCCTCCCAAATACAACCAAAATGAGGAGATGCTGGAGGAGTAAAGGTGCACTTTATACAATTCCGACTTAAATTGTTAGAAATGAGTTTGCTTTGGCCATTAACAAATTGATTAACCTCCTTCAACTTCTTGGATGGTCCAAAAAAATTTGTCCACAGTCACTATAAATGAAGGAAAACCACATCTGGCAATAAATCTGGCTAATGCGGCAATAGACGAAGGAGTGGATATAGTTCTGGAGCCCCTGGCAAAAAAAAAGTGTCATATTTCATACTGTTTGTCCTTATAAATTGACCATATCCACAGACCTGATGAGAAAAATGTACCCTACATATGTTGCAAGTGAATATATAAAGCTACCAATCCTTTCAATTTATTGTATTTACAGTCTTAAGACATGAAATAATAGTCAGTTACTCCATAAACGTATAAATTGTCATGGACCAAACACTTTCAGTACGTGACATCTAAAGCCCTTAAATGCCTATGGGCCTGCAAAAGAGCAATAGGAAAAAATTGGGGGCTCAAGCCTAAAATGGTATATTGGCTGTATAAAATGAGAGTCAGACATGATGATGGCATAAAACAAGGACTGTAGTTAATTGAACCTTATTAGAAAAAATTCAAAGATTAGTCTGTCTAATGAAAATGGGAGCAATGGGCTCCACCCCAACTGCTGCTATGGAGATAATGTTGAACATGCCACCATTGCAGTTGAAGGTTGGAGGCTCAGGCAACAAATGCATTATACAGGCTGAGTAAGCTAAAAAACTGCTCCTATATTCCTTGCCAAGGGGGACAAAAAAAATTGCTGAATAGGATTGGGAGGGAGGAAGTGCTAGCCATGCACTCCAACATACTAATCCGTGAGTATCTGGACTGCAAATATGAGGTTGAGATTGATACCAGCAGTACAACATAAACCCAAAAATGGTATAAATTGTTATATAGATGGCTTTCCAACAGCCTATGACTCAAGAGCAGGCATCAATTGAAAAGATAACAAGGAAAAAGTCTCAATACCTCTTGGCAAACATGCTTCGGTATTTCAATCTGAAATACTAGCAATTTGCCATTGTGCTCAAAACCTACTGCTAGGCAAAGTGACTGGAAAAAATATAATAATCTACACTGACAGTCAGGCAGTAATAGGTGCCCTAAATAATTATTATGCATACTCAAAGGTTGTTAAAGAATGCAGTATAGCAATCAACAATCTGTTTGAGCTTAATAGAGTTGCAATCGAGTTGGTGCCCGGTCATTCGGGCATTCTTGGCAATGAAGAGACAGATAATCTAGCCAGGTTATGCTCAGATACTATTCCTATAAGTCCTGAATCTGTTTGTGGAATCAGTATTAGCACTGCCAAAAGAAGGATTAGGGAGTTTTATGGTGAAAAATTTAAACAACACTGAACTGAGAAGAAACAACATTCGAAGCTATTCCTTAAAGGTCCATGTGATAAAAGAAGTAAGCTGCTACTGAGTTTGGACAGAGCAACTCTCAAAAAGCTTACAGCGATCTATACTGGCCACTGTAAGTTAAATTATCACATGTTCAATCTCCAAGCGACTTCGAACCTGCTATGCAGATCCTGTTAGGAGGAAAAAGAAACAGCCCTTCACATCATTTGTCGATGGAGAGAAGAGAAGGCACTTGAGGCCGGGACATTAAGGCAGAATGACCTTATCTGAGAAGTGAAGCCTACTACATTGAAGACTAAGAATATCAAGTCTACAGTTATAAGACTTTTAATTGATTCATTTATTACAGTAGTCAAAATAAATTATTTTATTATACAGGAGTGAAAAGTCATTTTATTTAGTTGTTCTATATGCCTCACAATTGAAGAATAACAAACCAGGTGAGTCAATTCATTCAAAGTGTATTTACTCAGTCCCACACTGACAGGCAAAAAATTCCACCCACTTGATTTTTTCATGTTTTCATCTAAAAATATTTCTACTTTGGATTGGTCTATTGTTTTTAATGAATAAATAGGTAATCTTTTTGTTTGTTTTCAATTAGGAATGTTAATATAGAGGACAATAACCCTTAATCCTTAATTCAATGAAATGATTCTAAATTCCAATGTTTATTCAGTATCATTAGTTCAGTGCCATTTCTTGCAGCACATTTCTTAGTCTCTGGCTTTTAATTTTTTCAATATTAAGTTTAAAAATGCCTCTTAGTGCTGAGGATGTTGCGCGTGGTGTAGCACTTATTGATGATGGACGTTTCATTAGATATGCAGCTAATGCCATAGGAGTTCCATATAAAACTTTATGAGAAGCCGTCAGGCGTTTTCGGGAAACTGGTTCTTACAATAGAAGGCCCAGTTCTGGATGGCCTGGGGTAACAGAACCACAGGATGACCGGTTTTTGACTTTGAAAATTTTACGAAACCGGCACCTTACCGTTGTTCAAGCGATTCATCAGCTCGAAGAAGTTCGAGGTGTGCAAATATCTGAACGTATCGCTCGGAGAAGATTAAATGAGTATGGATTAATGGCTTTTCGTTGAGTAAGAGGACCAGAACTCACAGAGTAACACGGCTGGCTTTTGCTCGAGAACACAGCCATTGGACTATGGACGAATGAAGTGCTGTACTTTTTACAGATGAGTCAAGATTCGCTCTTTGATCTCCAGACAGGCATGAAAGGGTGTGGAGAAGAAGAAACGAAAGATATGCAGCCTGTAATTTTTCGCAGAGCTAACCTTTCCAACGTGGTTCCTTAATAGTGTGGGCTGGGATTTCAATGAAGAATTGGTTGTTGTTCGTGGAGTGTCTTTGACAGCCATTCGCTATGTACATGAGATTTTGGAACCTCATGTGTTGCCTATCCTCAATGAAATCGGCGATCGTTCTATTCTAATGCACGATAATGCATTCCCACATGTCGCCCGCATAGTGCAGACGTTCCTTCAACAGAACAATATTGAGGTTTTAGCCTGGCCAGCACGTTAATGGTTCGTTTTTCAGTTTTTTTTTCTCTAATCTTTCTGACCCAATCACATTTTGATTAATAAAGGTAAAAAAGATCATAAAATACCATAAATACTAAGTATTATCTGCAAATACCATGTATTATATACAAATACAACTTTAAGGTTAGTCGATTGGTTAGAAAGAAATGGAAGCGAAACCACAAGTCTACCCAGGAGATCACGAGTGTATGTATTTTTAAAGTATTCTTCGCCGCAAAATGCATCTTCCGGATTCCGCAGAATCGAAAATGACTTCCTCAGTCTCCCAAAATTGCTTTAATTCCTCCTGTAAAGAATGGCTGGTCTGCGTGAAAAGAGTACGTACTGAAGGTGCAGGGCTTTCTGAGAGTATGTCCCCAAATGATACCCATCCTAATGAGGTATGAATAGCCTTCGGTTGACCCTTCAGAAATAAAACAGGGTCATTTAAAACCTCTCCATACATCTCAGCACCCAGAAGTAGATCAACTTTACCCTGCATATGGAATTGAGGGTCCGCAAGTTCAATCGAAGCAAATCTATTCTGTACTTCTTGGGATATGGAAAAAGAAGGCAAACTTCCACTGATGCAAGCCAAACTCTGACTGAAAACCCGTGTATATTGTTGTTTATCATCAAACCCAACTTCACTGTAACCTCAGGTGAAGATGAAGAGATGGAGGTATTAACTACCCCAGACACCGCAAGAGGACTAACCTGGGAACAAAGGTGCAACTTTTTCCTTATATCAGTGGTAATTAAATTAATTTGGGAACCTGGATCTATCACCATTCTACATGAATACCACTGACCTGAACTTGAACAAATTCTACCCAAAGCAGTACCCAGAAGTACCTGGGAGTTGGTGGTAGCATGGCATGAGGATTGTTTGTTACTTGAGACTGGGAGGGCTTGGTGTTAGCAGCCTTATGTAACATCGTATGGTGACTTTTTGCCACAAACTTGGCAACAGCCTTAACTTACTTTGGCATTTAGACAAGCAATGAGGTCTCGTACACGAAAATTCATACTTCTTAAATCATACTTCTTTAGTAGGTCATAACAACCATTAACATCCGCATCCAGAATCTGAGGGCTGTTTATAATTTTATGGCTTGATTTTCAGACTGGGCATTACAATTTAGATTTCTGATTATCTGGTCTATTGCTGGTTAAAAATGTTTTTCGTTGAACTTCAGGCTGTGAAATTTTGGATGTAGAAAGCTTGGAACACACTTCTGCGATTCTAAGCTGTATCCTAACAAATTTGCAAAATTCTTCAAAGCTAGGAACTGTCTCTTCACCAAAACTATTCTCAACTATTCTTCTTGTATTAGGGCCCACAATGTTCAGTCTGAGATGCAGTAAAACAAAATCAGTAAGATTATTGAGTTTAAAGTTCTTTAAGGCATTGTAATTATCTTCAAATGTGTCCAGAAAGTTTCTAAAGTTGGGAATGTTATCAATAGGCCACAATGATTCTTTTATTACTATAATGCTTTACTAATTTATCATAGGCCAAATAGTAATTTTGTACGTTAAACTCAATTGAAGAAATGGCCTGTGAGGCAAGATGAACTAAAAGTGACTTGGGATAAGAAAATTAGACTATATCTCTGTAATTTTGATTATGAATTAAGGCATTAAACAACAATTTAAATGAAGGCAATTGTTCGTATTGTCCTGAGAATTGAGAAATCTGTAGCTCTGGCAATTTAGGATGTGCTTCTGATTCAGACAAGTGGGTTGAGAAGCGGGAACTACTACTTGCTCAGCTTTAATTAATCTCTCATGAACAACTTTTATTTCATAATAAAGTCCTTCTGATGCTAAAGAAGGCGTGTTTACCTCAATCATATGTTCGTCTATGATTCATTCAACATCGAAATTTTGGTTCAACACTGCTTCAATTCCTCCAATTATACTTTAATTTCTGAAGCCCTAGCCATAAAAATTTCCTTTCTAGCAGGGAGACCCTTAATCATATTGGAAGTGGTTTGAATTCTAAGAAACAGCCTTTCCTTTTTATCATTATTTCTTTAAGTCCCCCTTAGTACTCTTAGTCGGAACATCTTCAAAGTTGTTAAAAAAGTAAAAATTCAAAATTAAATTTTAATAGCTGAAGGCAATACCAATGTTTTTCAAAACAAATGCAAAGTTCAGCAAAGCAGGAAAAAACAAGCAAGGATTAACATAAGGATTAATGAAAGTATTAACAAAGTCACTTAATTCCAGCAAGTCACTATGGTTCTTTCCTGGAAGCGCACCTAAGATTTTTCAACTTTTTGACAGCTTGACTTCCCAAATATGTAACGAAAGCATAAGAAACGATATAAGATATATTAAAAAAAAAAAAACAAGGAATCAATAGGCGAAATATGAATATTAGTGCAGAAATATACGATTTTTACAACAAAAAAAAAATTCAATTTTTAACACCTTGGAACTCCCAAATACGCAATGAAAGCATAAAAACCGATATATATTTATAAAAGATATATTAAAAAAAAAAAATGAATCAATAGGCTAAATACGAATATTAGCCCGGAAATAAATGATTTTTACAAAAACTCTCATAACCTACCAGGCAATTTTCCTCCTTTAAGTATGGCAAAGCATTACTAATTTAGCAAAAGAAATTATATAATTTGGCCCGGAGGATCAAAAATTGTCTAGGCAAGTTTCCAATTTAATTAAATCTGGTATAATAGCATTTACACAAAACACTCATAATTAAATGATTAATTAAGGGAGAAAACCTGGTGGTTGAGCATGATCTCGGTCAAATCACTTCCTTACACAACCGTTGACCAAGATATTTCTTGGTAACTGAAGGTATTGTTATACTTTTCCTAAATAATACTGAACCCAAGACCCTTCATAGGTTATAGGGGTACTGTTTTTTTAATTTATATAAAAGTGGTTTATATAAATTTAAATATATAATAAATTTACCCAAATTGGGACCAAACATACCAGTGTATTAAATAGACACAAAATAAGGATATTCGAAGTACTCACAAACCAAAAATTTATGAAATTAAACAAATTATTTATTTAAATAATAATAATTAAACATTTTATTTTTCACTTTTCCTGTTCAGAAGCCGAGTTTATAATTGGATTGGTATTAAGTTAAATAAAAATATCATTAACTATTAGCATTAAAATCTAAAAAACAAATTTATCGCTCAATATAAAAAATATGAAACATTTCTTTTGGGGGTCCATCAGTGAAGCTCTGAAAATTCGTGGACAAAAACGAATACAAAACAATTATTTTGGGAGCCAAACATACCACGGTACTAGATAAATACAAAATTAATGATGTTCATGGTCTTCAGGGAAACCCCCAAAATTTGTGGAATAAATGAATAAAAACCAATTATTTTTGAGGCCAAACCTACCACGGTACTAGATAAGTACAAAACAATGTTCTTCGGGACCCTGAGAGGGGGCCTCCTGATCAAACCACCATGATTAAAAAAATATGAAACATTTATGTTAGGGGCCCATAGGAGGAGCCCCAAAAATATCAGAAAATAAACGAATATAAAACAATTATTCTTGAGGGCAAATCTACTACGGTACTAGATCACTACAAAATAATGTTCTTCGAGCACTAAGAGGGGGCCCCCAATCATTCCACAGTGATAAAAAAGTGCAAAACATTAATTTTGGGGGCCCATCAGAATAGTCCCAAAACTTTTAGGAAATAAACTAATACGAAACAATTATTTTTGGAACCAAACCTACCTCGGTACTAGATAAGTACAAAACAATGTTTTTCGGAGCCTTCCTTATCTAACTACGATGATTAAAAAATACAAAACATTTATGTTAGGGACCCATAGGAGGGGCCCCAAAAATATGAGGAAATAAACGAATATAAAACAATTATTTTGGGGTCTAAACATACCATGGTACTAGATAAGAACAAAATAACGATCTTTGGCCCTCAGAGGCATTCCAAAAATTTGGAGAAATAAACAAACACAAATCAATTATTATTGGGTCCAAACTTACAATACTTGATAAATACAAAATAGGAAACTTAGGGATCCTCAGAAAGGAATTCATAACATTTATGTTGGGGGACCATTGGAGAAGCCCCAAAAAATGATGGAATAAATGAATAAAAAACAATTATTTTGATGGTCAAACGTACAACAGTACAAGATAAATACAAAACCATGATTTTCAGGGCCCTCAGATGGACCTTATATACAAATACAAAACAATTCATTTTGGGGTACTAGGAAAATGTAGAAAAATTATTTCCGAATTTCCTCCGAGGGCCCCCGAACAAGAGCTATCGCCAACTAGTCAACCTGGCCAGACCGGCCCTGATGATATAAGTAGATAAGTGTAAAACAAAACAATCAACTGGAAATGAAAGAAGCTATTTACAAAAGTTGATAAAGTAAATTATAATAAATGACTGCTTGAAATAAATAAAAGAATGTTACATCCTTGATGCAAAAATAATTAGAAAAATAAATATAATAAAATAAAAAAGTAGTAGAAACTCGATTGGACGATGAACAAGGAAGGGTTGAAAATGTTATTACAAAAAAAAAAAAAAACGAAAAGTGATTACACCAAATCCCAACATATTCTTCAATAAATATTGTATCAATATTTGAATATTGATAATTTGTATTTAATAGTTAATAAATTATTTTAAAATGGTGAAACTTACTATCAAGGTCAAACTGAGAAGGAACTATATTTGGTAATTGTGGCATCAGTCTTGGTTGAGGGTGTGTTTGTTGCAGAATCATGGGTGGCTGATTTCTAATATGTGTTGTGGTATTTGGTCCACTGCTTAGTATGTATGGCTGATATTGAGCACCAATAGGATTACAAATAGGATTCTGTAAATAAAAAAAAGGTAGGTCAAGAAACTTTATTTATTATTTTTTATGACTTTATAAATATACAAAGTCAATATATATAAAAGTGTACTAACACACACATATAAATTTCCCATTAGTTATAGAATATCCTGTAGGTATATTTTATATATATGATTAATAATTCTTCTATCCAGAGAGATCGCGTGGGGAGACTAGGGTGCCGTGGCTGGGGGGACGCCACGGAATGGAAAATTACTTAGCTCCCACCTTTTATCCCGAAATTTAAAAATTTATTACGGTTCTTTACAAAACTAAACGTGGCCACTTAAATTAAGGGATGAACAATGCCTTAGGGTTTTTGAAAATAAAGTATTATGCAAAACATTTGGACCGAAGAAGGACGTGTTATCCATAGAATTTAGAACGCTACACAACGCCAAATTGCGTTAGTTGTACCCGATGAATATAATTGAAATTGATTTGCAGCTACAATCCACCCATAACTAAGTACCAATAGTCAATGTGTGCTGGGCTGACTGGTAAGCGTTCTAGGTGTATGCCAAAGCAAAGGCGGGAAAATTACATTCAAGTTTGGACAGCGGCCGGTCGATGTCAGCAGCGATTGATGGTATCCGTATCAATTATTATCATCTCTATTTAGCTCTCTTTCTCTATTTAAACATGGCATGATAGGTTATTAGCAGATTTGGAATGGAATAGGGGGAGCCCCTCAAAATCGTAAAATATAACCGTGTCCTATATATTCGTTCTTCTTTAGTTGGAAAGTGTTGGTGTATTAATTGAGATGTTGGTAATAAAAATTTCCGATTGATGCAAGCAAATATTGTATTTGTTACACTTTCTTCTTGTTGACGTTTCGGGAAATCTTTCCCATCTTCAAAACTTTTCCTTGCAGCTACGCTAAGTGTGCTCCTGTGTCTTAATTTAAACATTTTTATAAAATTGTTATTCAGAGCAACCACATTATTAGACTAACAATTGGATACCTGTGTTGAAAAAAATAACCATGTCTTATGAAAAAAAATATTAAAAAATTATATCTGAAAGTAATATTATTTGTTTGATTAAAATTAATAGAACTTTAAGAATCACTTAAAAACCATTTAATATAGGTAGTTCTTTCTTTTTCTTCCGAAGTATTATCATTATATATTTATATATATAACTTATGATCGCTCATGCAAGAAATAATAAAAAAAAGGAAAAGGGATGCAAAAGAACACACTCAAGTACTCGCTAAAGACTCTAGTCTTTAGTTAGACTAAAGAGTATTAGTCTTTGTTTACCTAATCTCTATAGGATTAAATACAAGATTAGGGGGCTGCCAACCATAAGTTATATATCTATATATATATAAAGCTTTCGGGCTGAAGCACTTCCAAAACTTAAAAAGGGTGTTAGGTCACATGGATGTATTTATCAGTTTGATCAATTGATCTCTTTGTTATTACATAATGTGTTATAATGACAAGTGGTTCAAAACATCAAAAAAGGTATAAACAGTTAAATGAGTTTAGTTGATTAAATGTATCTATGTGACCTAATACTAAGTCAATAGAATAATTATTAACCCTTATCGGTTGTAAGTCAACTCTCAAGTGACAACACAAAAATGTTATTCTTACAATACTGAAATTGTTTTGTAAATTTACCCTCACTAGCTACAACCTAGTGAGAATCACATATAAAATGCTAGCAATCGATATAGGTTAATTATATTGTTTAAAGGTTTCTTATAAATTTGTTAAAATTATATATATATATATATATATATATATATATATATATATACATACAATATTATCAAATTTGAAATGATGAGAAAATTTAAAGATAATATTTAATTAATGAAAAAACCGTATGACAACTGTCACGTAAAAATGAAATGTAAGAAGTCATAATAGTAAAATATAGAATAAAGTAGTGTTTATATACTTGTGCTAAATTTAGTGGTAAGGTGGCCTGAGCAGACTGTGGGAGGATAGATACGCCAGCATTTGTTACTACATAGTTTCCAGCATTGTCAGTCGTTAAATTTCCTGATATATTGTGCCTATTCAATGCCTCTTGCATATTAGGAATTCCAGTCAATGGAAGATTAGCTAAAACAAAAGAATATTATGGCTTGAAATATAATAAAATACAAAGCAATAAATAAATCTAAAAATAAGAACAAAATTAAACTATACTTGGTAAAATATATGGTAGCCCACAGTCTTTGGTTATCAACAAAATTTTCTATTATATTCATAAAACTTGCGTTTTGTTGAAATAGAAATTTTTATCTAAAATAAATTGCTGCACCATGCACCATATGATTAATATTTGTTAAGATCAACATAATACAACATTTATATTAAAATATTTCAATATAAATACCCCACAATAGTTCAGAAGGCGTACTATTATAGGGAAATTTACTGATTTAGTTTTTAAATGATGATTAATGATATATCTCTGTTTTCATTGACTTATGACAGGGACTTCTTTATTAACTAAATTTAAGTACAGACAGTGTTCCTCTAACTACAAGTCTCACTCTGAAAAAGTATCCAATAGTAGAATATTTTGTATGTTAGCTCTTGAACCTGGGTCTTTTAGAAAAGAAAGTCGGTGATCTACCATTCTCAGTTATGTATATGTTCAAATGTTGACATACAAAATATTCTTTTGAAAAAATATTGGAGACTTTTATCAAAGTCAGACTTGTAGTTTGAGATAATACTTTCATAATACAAATGCATATATATTTGAAATATCTTAAGCTGCATTTTTTAATAAATATTTCTTTAGAAAAGTAGTTTTATTTTTACTTCTAAAAACCGTTGTATTTATGTTATAATATGAAAATTTCAAGTATTTCACTAAGTATATTTTCATTAATAAAAAAATATCCATTCCAATTATATATATACGTATATAGGAATTTTATGTTACATTTCTATTCTATTCTATTTAGTTCTAACTAACATAAACAATACAACTAATAATATGAAAGTTTTCATTTAGCAAAACTGATTCCAGACTTTAACCTATCTACATATTATTTTTAACTGATAAATTATATTTTATAAAGCAGATATAATTTATTATAATAAATAAGGCGTACTAGATGGAACTGTTCCTGTAGATGCTGATATGTGAGTGGCCAGAGTACCAGTACTGATTTTAGGCTGAAGTGGTAGCTGTCTCCCTCCAATTGGAGTTCTTCCTGCACTCAGGAGGGTTTAAAGCATGATATTATTTGTAAGACATAGGAAATCTATCAACTACCATTAATCGTAGTTTACTAAATGGTGTGTGGTGTTAGTTTAAATATATTTGTCATATATTAAAAGTATTTTCCATTTTATAAATTATGGTTATTAATTAAAAATGTTCGGTTACACTTAGAAAATTGGGATTGTGATAATAATGTTGCAGTACCAATTAAAAAAATAAAAAACAGACTACTTAAGGTAATAAAAGTAACATCAAAAGTATTGACGTAGAATAAATCGCTTTAATTTAGAAAATTTGTCTAGATTTTACTTTTAAGGTCCATAAAATGCAAATGTTTAACTGTAATACATTGCTTTCTAATCGATTTTCAACAGGAAGTAAATTGCTAACAGATATCTGCCAATTTTATACATTATTGTTTTATTGTAAATTCATAGACACTTATGATTATCTGAAAAAAAATATATAAATAATAATTATTTAACAAAGGAAATAAAAAAATGAAGAGGTAATTAGACTGTGATTTATCATTTAGTTTTTTATTTTATAGAATCTTTTTTTATATGTCCTCCTCGGAATGCCTTAGCATTATTAGATGCCAAAGATATAATGCTTTAAAGAAAAAAAAAGTTTTACATGAATACTCATGGCTATTTATCTGCCTGTAGAATGTCTTACCCAATATCTTTTACACTGCTACTGACAATTAACAGACACCATCTTAAAAAAAAAAATTGAAAAGTGTTGCAAGGAGGTATGAATTGTCTTATTTTATTTTGTTATTCATGAACAAAAACTAATGATTTTCATTCATTATACATTATTTTATAAGAAAAACATTTTTTGGCTAAAATTATTTTGTTATTTAAGAATGTTTTTTTATCCTATCTTTTTTTTGTAGAATGTTTCAATGTTATCCTATATGGATTGAATTAGTATAAAAATTATCAAACTCTTATCTATCCCTCTATAACTTTTTCCCTGTTTAAAATTTTCTCTTCAAAATTCTATCTTTTATACAGCCAGTGATGATATTATTACACCTATTTTCAATCAATCCTATTTATCAAAACCACTCAATAAATTACTCTATTATGAACTTAGCACCCTCCCTGAGCAATGAACGCTTCTTAATCCTCTCCAGTTAGCTTTCAAATTCAATATACCATTTTGCTAACCACTTTCAAAGACTTTTAATCTTCCATAGATAAAGAAAAAAATACTATCCTAATACTCTTTGTTATATCATTGAATTAATTGATAATAAGTTTTTCGTTTCCCAATTCTATAGCCACTCTTTACCCTTTCGATTTTCAAATTTATGCATTTGACATCCATACCTCTTATGTGAAAGCTGGAGGCCACAAAGTCTAAACACATTGGGAAAAAGTGTCATGTTCGGAAGGGCAGGGCATTATAGAATGTGGATTCAATTGCAACCTAGAGCAGTTAATTTTTATTTCATAGTCTTGAAACTCCAACTCTATTTGGTACACAGAAGAAAGCATTATATGACATAAAGAACCACAAGGTCTACTTGTCATACTTATTCCCCCACCAATACCTGTACCAGTACCAGTATGTAAAAGCCATTTCTCACTTTTCTTCTAAATTGAAAATTTTACTGCAGAATATATCAGTTAATATCTAAATTAGTAACTTAAAAAACAGTGGAATATCATTTTTCTGGAATATCATTCTTTATACCCCAGGAGTAAATTATGCAATACCAATTTCTATCCAATATCAGTCAGGAAATATTTCTGACACCTATACTGCCAATAAAGCTTCTTTTTTTTTTTTTTTAATGAAACATATCTTATTTTACTTAGAAAAAGATCTTGATGCAAAGTAGCAGTTATTAACTTTCCAAGGCCCTGTTTATGATCTAATAATATAGATATTACATTATCATTATTTACATCATTGCCTTATTTAAAATTTAATTTCTTATAATTTATTTGTCAGAATATCATGATTTTGAATAAATATATATATATATTTTTTTTTTCGGTTGGCTCTACAGACCTTTTAGATCTTTGGCCGCCTGAACCAGCCTTCTCCACCTCTGCCTATCTTGGGCTACTGCTTTCCAGTTTTCTGCATGGAGCTCAGCCGTATCTTTGTTTATCCTATCTATCCATCTGGTTTTTGGCCTCCCACGTGGTCTCTTGCCTACTACTCTGGCATTCATTGTCGTGTAGAGGTGTCCTGATGGATTACTACGAGCTACATGCCCTGCCCATCTTAACCTCCTTGCCTTCATGTCATGAGATATTGACTGACCCGTTTCTTTCAACAGTTCTTTATTGTTCCTTCTCCTCCATGTGTCAAGGTTCTGGTTCCATATAGGTCCTGTTATCCTACATAGTACTTTTCTTTCGAATCTCTAAATTCTGGCTTCTAATGTGGCGGTTAGAGCCCAGGATTCACAACCGTACAGCAGAACTGGCTTAATAACGGCGTTGTACACCCTTATTTTGAGATTTCTGGATTTCAGTACCTTTGAAAGAGAGAAGAAAGATCTGTCTACTTTTGGGAATGACTTGGAATCCACGCAGATCATGTTATTAGGGTGGATGTTTCGGCTAACTATCATGTATTTTGTTTTATCTACATTGACCTGTAGTCTGATTTGCTCTGCTTCTTTTAATAGAGTCCGAGCGAGTCTCTCAATATCCTCTTGATTACTTCCGAGGACAGCTATATCATCAGCATATCCCAGGATTTTATGTTTCATTCCAACCTGCACCCCTCCATCTTCGTGTGACGTTATTCTTATTACTTTCTCTAGTGCTAAGTTGAACAGCATCGGCGAGAGTCCATCTCCCTGCCTCAAACCCATTCGAACTTCAAAGGCTTCAGATACTTCTCCTTGTATTAGTACCCTGCATTTAGGATCATTTGTACACGCCTTCGTCAACCTCACTAATTTCTCGGGAACACCCAGCTCAGTCATGATCTTCCAGAGACAGTTTCTATCAACGGAGTCATAGGGTGATTTGAAGTCGACAAATAATGTGTGTACGTCCTGATCTACTTCCCATCGTAATTCAATATGAATATCTGATCTAGCGTACTCCTTCCCCTCCTGAATCCTGTTTGATGGTCGCCTATTATGTTTTCATAATACGGATATATCCGATTTAACAGAATATTAGTCATTATTTTATAATGACTAATATTGAAGAGAAGTGCCATGCCTCTGTAATTGCCACATTCATAAATGGAGCCCTTCTTAAGAATAGGACAGATCAACCCTGTGTTCCATGCTTTTGGTATCTGTTCCTTCTCCCGTATCTTCTGGATTAGATCTAACAGCTTGGCTCTGAGTTCTTCTCCCCCATCCTTGAACAATTCTGATGGTAGGTTGTCCATCCTTGGAGCCTTTCTTCTTTCAAGCCTGCCGACAGCTATTTCCACATCCAGATTATCTGGTTTTTCAACCTCAAGTGGGTCGATGTCCTCAGTGTGGTCCATGTCTTCTTCATTTGTGGGGTGCCCTTGGTTAAGCAGCTGCTGGAAATGTTCCTTCCAGATGCTAAGGATCGTTTCTTTTGATGCCATCAATTTGCCATCTTTCCCTCGATTTGTGTATTTCTTGCTTTATATCCTACCCTTTCTTTCTTGATAACTGCGAAGAATTCGCAGATATTTCCAGCCTGCCAGTTTTCCTCAATAGTTTGTAATCTTTCTTTGAGGAATTCTCTTTTGGCTGTTCTTATAATTTTTTTTGTTTTTTTCCTGGCGGCTGTCTATTTGTCCAGCATAGCTTGATCAGTTTGTAAGCAGAGGATTTTTCTT